TTTTGGGTGTTCTTTTGCCTCTCCCTTGACTTCATATCATCTGGATTCTTCACTGTTAGCTCTAGCCCTCTATGTCTATGTCCTTGTCCATGGGCTCAGGTGTCCCCAAGTCTCACCACACAGTGGACCAGCAGCCCTTCCTCTTTTCTCATCTCCAGGTCAATGGGAGTCAATGGACCGTGGTTGAACTCAGCACATTTCTTCATTGCTGCCTTTCCCCCTCTTCCACTCACCAGTAGACCAACGTGCTCGCCAGCAAGCTTACATACCTGCTGCTGTGTTCCCTCTGAGTTTCAATCTTAGAGGGGGGTTTGTCCTGAAGAAATTTGATTGCTTGCCTTGATGGCTTCAGAGATGGCTTTGGAGAACAGTTTGTTTATTGTAGTAGCTAGTCATCCTGTTATTTTTGTTTTGGGTTTTTCCTGATGATCTTTCTTTGAAGATGCATCTTCTGATCTCTAGCTGTTACAGGCTGGTGGGAATGTCCTACCTCAGAAAGTTCTGGATGGAACTCAGGATTCCACCTAATGTCCTATATCTGCAAAGGTTCTTCAAGAGGCCTGTTTCACTGTACAAATTCTGGAACTCCTTTTAGTATTCCCATCAGTTATAGGCTGAAGATGGTCTAACAAGTTTTCTGTAATCAACGTTTTCCGACATTTCTTTCTATCTCACTCAAGTGTCTGTTTTACAACAATAGGCAAGGGAAACCAATATTCATAAGACAGTCAAGCATCTCAGTATTATTTCTCCTCTTCAAACTATGCCTAGATCCCTGTATCACAGAACCCTGTTCCAAGGTTAAGCATTGCATCACTATTTATCTCTGTCCCACTTAGGGTATGCAAACCTGCCTCAGTGTTCCCCCACCTTGTTCTTCCACCTCCTTGCTCTTCTTGTATTGCCCTTCCCAACACCCGAACTTTGAAGTATCTGCCTTTACCCTGTGTTCTATCGTTGCCTCCTTCTACCTCCCCTGAATTCCTGTACCCTAACCCCACCGTTGTGGTTACCTTATATTCCATTAGTTTTACCTTCCATTTAAGACAGTCTGTTTTATCCTGTAATTTTCCTGACCTTTCCACCACCTAGATCTCTGTTCCTCTGTGTTTACCTTCTTTCATGATCATAGATTGACCTCCCAGGTCCTCTGAATATGTTCTTACAGTTTTATTCTGTTCTCGACTCTTCCATGTGTTGATTGACTTCTGGGTGATGTTGCGACATGCATCAATCTCTGGTTGTTTGTTTGTTCTTGGTTCTTAGTCCAAAGAACTCCCTTTAGGATGTTTTTCATCATTGGCTTTGGCAAAATCCCTTAGCTCCTGTTTATCCTGGAACGTTTTGATTACACCGTTGTATTTGATGGACAGCTTTGAGGATTTTTGGTCAGCAGATTTTTTCTTTCAGGGCTTTATATATGTCTCCCCATTGCCTTCTTGCCTGCATGGTTTCTGTTGAGAAATCCCAGCTTACTCTGAATTGCTTGCCTTTATATGTTACACTTCTCTTTTCCCTAGCTATCTTTGAGTTTGGAGAGCTTGATTATTATATGTCTTGGTGTTTTTCTTTTAGGGTCT